CTTGCGGCATGGGAGAGGATGAGAGACATGGACGGGGGGGTGGGTTGGGGGGTGTTGGCAGGCACCGTTACCGGGTCCCACAAGGCAGGTTGACCGGGTGGGGATCATGGAACCCAAGGCACGGCCGCAGGGAAACAAAGGTGCCTTGCCTTACGGCTTGCTACCTTACCAGACTACCTTCCTTACCTTAGCACCTTACCTTAGGCAAGGAAGGTAAAAAAAAAAGGTCAGGTACGTTACCAGTCTACCTTGGAGTTTGAGGCAACGGAAGACGACGACGGCAGGGCCGGCCGTTGGTTGCCCGCATAAGGTAGGTAGAGCTGTGCACTCGGGGCAGGCAACTCGGGGTCTCGACTCTCCTCTACTTTGAGATGCCAAAGAGGCAGAGGCGGTGTCAGTCACGGCTTGGGGGACCAAGGGATTCACACACTATTTAGGTATCTCTGCGGGCGTTGCAGTATAGGTGGGCACTGAGAGCATCCAATGTCAGTACCTACGCCTTGGTGGGAGTACGTAACCTGGCGAAATGGTAATGGTAAGACATGGGGCCCGGGGCCCGTCCGACGTGTGCCCGTCCGAATGGTGTTCATGGCATCTCGGTCACGTCGATCAGAATGTTGGGAGCTGGTGCTGGTGCCGATGCCGGTGCCGGTGCGGCTAGTGACCAGCCCGTTGGTACCGTTGGTACTGTTCCTGTTGGTTCAAGGTTGTGCGGCTTTGCCGAAATGGTCATGGTCATGGTCACGGTCATGGCTATGCGCCGCCATGGTGATGATGTTGATGATGTCGACGATAGCGATGGTGGCACCCAGCAGATGCCTCGGATCAGCAAGGGCAGGGTCGCAACAAAATGAGAGACAAAGAAAAGGGGGTCAGGAACGGTATGGGGAATGAAGCAAGCTGAGGAGAGTGTTGCATAGGTAAGGAATAGAAAAGAGGAAGACGTGCCGCGAGATGGCCTCTCTCCTCCGTCGGTGCATTGGGGCCATGGGCGATTGTCTCTTCCGTATCGGTACCTTGGGTGTTTGTTCGATCGGCCATCCCTACGTCGTATCTCTCGGAGAATCGTGCAGCTGATTGAGAATCGAGGCAAGTATAGGAAAAAGAAAATATGCAGGGAATGGAAGACCAAAGTACCTAAGTTAATGTACCTACCTGACCACGCACGATACCGTACTCTGGGTTCCAACTTCCATGACTGGCAGTCAGGTCATGTGAAGGTCAGGTCAGGGTCGGGAAGGCAGGAAGAAGCATGGGGCGGACGGAGGAAGGAGGGAAATTGGGAACCTGGAGGGCTGGAGGGAGAGAAACGAATACTGGGGAGCTGGTGAGCTGCAAGGCGGCAAATACCCATTCGAAGCTGGACGCAGCGCCGCAGACTTGCGAGTTGCCCGCATCCGCTTGCTGCTGCTTGCTGCGTGCTGCGTGCTGCGTGCTGCAGCATTGATCGGTTGGTTCGATTTGCAACATTGGACCGGGGAGAAATGCATGTGCAAGCGAATGGGGAAAGGCCTGCCCCGAAAACCCATGTCTGCAGACTGCCACACTAGCAGATTACCGTAGACAGGCGGATGCAGGTCGTTGGTGGCGGGGAAATAGGGAGGGGGCACAGTTGGGGTTGGGATTTTTGAAGCCACGCTAGCGAGGGAAAGTGACATGGGCAGGATGGGGAAGGGCCCGGGGTGGGGTTAAGGGGGTGTCTACCAATACCTACTCCTACTAGTCCGTATGGTAGTGTAGGTAGGCTTCGTTCACGAGGGAAGGAGGGGCTCGAGGAAGGGGAAAGATCGGCCTCGAAAGCCAAGGTACCTTATCACCTTACAAAGTTGTCCGTACGGATACCTTCCATTGGTAAAGTCCGTCGATAGACCGTACTCCGTAGATAAGGTACCTTATGCATGCCTGCTCGCTTTCTTGTCCGGTGCATTCCTGTTCCCTCTTCTTGCCTTGCCTTTTCTTTTCCTTATGGATAACGTACCCTTCTTTTCCATCTTTCCTGCGGCACGGACAAGAATCGCGTCTTGCTGGCCCCGTCGTCCCACCCATAATCCGCGACTGCACATACTATAGTAGGGAGTAAAATGGGTTGGGTCTATTGGATGTGGAGCTCCTGCTGTGCCACAAGGCAGTCCACTTCTTCGATTCCTATTCTCGAGAACCGCCGGGTTTCTGCTTTCTTGACAACCTGACAACCTGCCAACCTACCTTCCATCCACTTCATCCTCGCCTTGCCGCGTGCGACTCGCTCAGGTGATTTCCATGACAATTCATCGACTGCGTCCTCGTCGACAAAAGAACGATACCCCAATACCGCACATTCCCAAACACGCCTCCAAGAGTCCCGAGTTGTCGAATTAAGCTCACCCCCCGACCCCCGACTTAGAGTTCGCCTGGCGTGACAAGCACACGCAGCAAGGACCACTTTCACCCGAAGTCGCAGTCGCAGTCTTCTCTTTCCCGTCACCGCTCCGGCGCCCGGGTCCAGCATCTGCGTGCGAGGTCTGAGATCACCTGCCTTCCTTGCCTTGGTGAAAGGAGGGAAGCATCTGACATCGCTGCTGTCCGTGTTGTTGTCGCCTCCATCCTCGTCCTGTCTCCTTTGCGGCTCGCCCATCTCCGCCTCCACATCGGCTCGCAGCTTCTCAACGCCCTAGTTCTAAACTCTCCTTCCTCAAAGTAGCCGTTTCAAAGCCGTAACTGTGTCAAAGTCAAGGTACTTGGGTAAGTAGACACCTACTTTACTAGTCAGGCCAGTCTCTTCCTCCCGTGTGTTTTCTCCAACCACTCACAGTCACGTGGTGTGTCATATCGCATCACTTAAGTCACCCTCTAGGGATGACCCCGACGCTTGATGCCCTCCCGTCCAAGACACACGTGCTGGGTCCCCTCCCTTACGTTAGCTGCTTCCTGCGCAGTCGGTCTGCGCGCCCTCAATGGGAGACACACACACATGCACACACTCTTTGAGATCTCTCCCGAGTCCTGCTTTCTCCTCATCAGAGGGATCCAATCCCGCTGCTTCGTCTCTTTCTTAGTTGTCTTCTCCTTCTCCCCCTTCCCCGCCATCCATTTCCTACTTGCCAATACAGCACAGCATAGCCTAGCAGAATGAATGTCAAAATCGCGTCACAGTCGCACACACGCATACACGCTAAGGCAAGGCAGACAAGGCGACCTATCGCGGTGTAACGATAACTTGCCTTGTACAACCTGAACTCACCAGCTGCCAGCTTACCTGACGATTATCTGAAGGCAAGGTACTCGACACCTTGCAACACTTTGCACCATCTATCGGCACTCATTTACGCTCCGCTCTATGCTAGGTGCACAAGTCACCCATCCGGCATTTCATCTTGTCTCCGTCGTCTCATGCGGGCCAGACTATCCGATGAGCGGGAAGGCCACAGTGAGTTGAAACTCTAAATCACGGACTCAACGCCAAATCAAGACACGCCCGGCATATCGGGTCATATGACAAGCCGTGAGTGCGCTTGCTTTCTGGGCGCAGCGCTACCCGTACCATTGAGGGGCTCCCGCTGTCTCTCCCGTCGGCGTCCGCTCCAGCATCCATCTACCCAACCAGCCAACGACGCCGCCTTGCCTGAACCCACAAAGTAAAGTACTTCTAGACGAGACAGAACAGCAATAACCACATTCCGTCACGCCCGGGAAACACGTCGGCCCCCGCCCGCTATTAGCAAATCAAGTCTGAGGCGTTGAAACAACACCCTCACTCATCCACCCGATCAAGGTACCTGGTGCTCATCATTCATCTACCTTCCGGTACCCAATTGCCTTCTGTCAACTGGTATCTAAAAGTCTGGATCAACGGCAGCCAGATCGAATCATCCGTTGGACGGAATCTGCCCGAAAACCAACCATACAGTAGCTCTACCCGATTCCACCTGTCTCGCCGGCATCTCGTGTCGTCTTGTCTCATCAAAATACCGTACTCGCTGCCTCGCCCCAAATTCCTAGCAGCTAGCACCCAGCAGATTCGCCTGCTCTGCGGTTCGTGCAGTAAAGAACGGGTCAACCCCAAAGGGCAACGCCGACTTCGAGTGGCCGAATCTAACTCTGACTCTGGCTCTGACCATCCTCCAGTCCAAGTGGAGCCATCACCAAGAACGACCAAACTAAATTAGAGCGGCGACACCTCGGTTCCGTCTAGTCCGTACCGGTGATAGAACCTTGCACGACAGAGGGCTTGCTTACTCTGCCTTTGAAGCTCCATCCCAGGTTCCATTCCGTCACCCAATCCCCGCCCACCCGATCAGGACTCAGTTTGTGGCCGCCACGGTCTCTTGTCTCTTTGTCACTTGCAGGTTGTCGCGTTGCCTCATCTGTCACCCCACTCCATTTCTCTTGCCTTACGGATACCTTGGCTCTGTCTCCCATTCGCTTTCGTTCCCCTTCACGTTTTCTCCCTACCTCAAAGGTAGGCAACGTATCCACACCTTTCCTCACCTAGCGGGCGCGGCAAAGCATCCTGAGTTCACTCTGACAGTAGTGCGTGCTCGGGGCTGCTGCTACTTGCTGCTGGAATCTCGTCCGCTCGTGCCGGCCGCTGGCGCTGGTGCTGGTGCTGGTGCTGGTGCTGGTGCTGTTCTCTCCTTTGGGCCCATCTTTCCTCCTTGGGACCCCACTTGCACCACGCCTACGGCTTACCTGGTACCTAGCTCGCGCTAACGTCAACTGCCCCGTCGTCTCCACTTTCCGCATCTGCTACCTTACCTTAGCTGAGGTATTCCCGGTCGCGTCCCACCCGACCTCACCTCCCCTGGCCCTGTCGTGGATCACGGACGTGGGACTTCGCAGCGCTCCCTCCACCACTACCCACTTTTGAATATCAAACTATCACACCCGGCACCTGTGCACACACTCCCCCACGACCTCGTTTCCTCCTTTCTGGACAGAGACGCTGGTCTCGTGTACGTGCCTCTGGGCATTCCGCGTCCCGTGCTGGTTTCCGTCCGTCCCCGAGCTGCTCCGCAAGTGGCATGTCTGGTGCAACAGTCATGGCTACTAGGCTGCGGAAAAGAAGCCAACCCATGGGGGAGGATCCTCCTCCCTTTTCCAATTCAACAGCCTCCGCCTCTGTTCCTACAACTACGCCTTTGTCGACACCTGCATCTACACCCTCGCCCGGAGACAATGACTTCAACATCAATGTCCAGGATTCTCAAATATGGGGCCCCGTAGGAGACTCCGAGTTCCCATGGTTCTCTCATGGGTCAAACACTCCCCGGCAAAGACGTCGACTATCCAAAACCCGCGAGGATAGCCTACCTCCGGCACATTCAGAATCTTGTAAGTCGGAAGGGTTTCTCTACGTCTTTTTAGCCGTCTGTGCTGCCCCCCTTATTCTCGTGCGATCCTTGGGAAACGCGGAAACAGAGAAGAGGAAACAGATTGCAATAAAACAGCACAGCGTTTTGGGAATCGTTGCCGACGAATGGTTGTCTAATAGCAAACTAGTAACCCGTGATCCCTCGAAGACTCCAACTAGACATGGTACACTCTACGGCCCGGCGGTCTCTTCTCGTCCGCCTCCAGATGTGGTTTTCTCTCCGGTACTCCCTGCCCCAGAGGCCCAATTTGTGGAGGAATGGGACCTAAGAAACCCCTTTGAAGACAACGCCGATGATACCGATCGTCTCGTCTTGGGCAAAAGTCGTATTCAGGCCGGTGCTATTGTTGATGGATACATCAAGTTCCACAATGGCAAGTCAGAGACCGCCAACCTACCGCGCCGACAAAGGAGACAACAATCCGATCCCCAGGCTCTTCTGGCAGAATTAAGTTCTCAAACGTTCTTGCTCGAAGCTGGCCTCGAGGAAAGTTGTGACAAGAAACTCTTCCAGTTTTGTAAGTTCAAACACCTATTGCCAAGATGGAGAATGACTGACATTCTCAAGACATCAAGGCATGGTGTTCCGGTCGAAGTGTCCTCCACAGAACCAACTGCTGGCTAGTCAACGTTCCCAGGATAATGAAGGACAGCTCCTGTGTCAAACATGCAATGCTGGCGCTTGCTGGAACATATGTGCTTGATTACCAGCCTGAGGAGAGCATTCGAAAGGCAGCCAATGCGCATTATAAACGAGCTGCCATGCTCTTGACAATGGCATTGAGAGAGGCCCGAAATCATGTTTCCACGGAACGCGAGGCAAACTGCCTCATTGCCGCCGTGACCCTTCTAAACATGATTGATGTTGTGTCTCCGGAACAGCGTCGGCCGCCAAGTGCGGTTCCTCGTTGGCTAGAAGGTGCTCGCCTCGCCTGTCGATTACTAGACGCGACAGATCCGGGCCATCGATACTGGAATGCCGTCAATATCCAACCTTCTGAGACGCAGATGGGCAACATGATCATCGCCGGCAGAGCAGCTATCCTGGCCCTCCCCATGGCTCCCCTCGATTCGCGCAATACGGAAAAGCGCCAGTTTGCCTGGCTGCTTCAGGGCTCTGAGCTGGATGCGCACAGGATACACGGCGGATGCGGCATGTCGCCGACACTCCTTCATCATTTCTCCATAATCACACATTTGGCAGCATGGCTGTGGGAGGACCCCGATAACAACGGATTCTACATGAACCCGGGCGTCAAAACACTCCACGAGAAACTTAGTAAACTACGCCAGTGGACTCAGCCCGCATCCGAGTCTCCGTCCCCTTCAGCCACATCACGGTCAGATCAATCCCGGGATATCTCGGATCCAAGCTCTCTCTTAGACAATATTAAGCGAAATGAGTACGGCCTGATAACTGACGCAGAATCCATGACAGAGGTAACGGCGGAAGCGTGGCGTCTGGCAGCCATCATCTATCTGCGTTGCCGCCTTGAGAGGCTACCTCGTTCTCACCCAAACGTCGTATCCGAGGTTTTGCAGCTAGTCAAGTGTGTACGCATGATGCCAACGTATGGCACTTTCTTCACTGCACAAGCACCCTTCTTTCCGGTCTTCCTCCTCGGCATTGTAGCCACGCAAGAGGCACACAGCCTCTGTGCCCTGAAGTGGTTTGAATCGGTTGTCAGTACCGGTTGTCGCTCGGTAAGTATATTGTTGATCATCCTACAGTCGTGTTGAATCTCTAATAAGAGAAACTCCGCAGAGCGTCCCCCCTGCGTTCAAGTCACTCCTGCGTATCCGTGAGTGGATAGCAGCCAGTCTTGATGACAGCAATCCTTCCGAACTTGCTGTCCAAATTCAAGAACGAGCCCCCTGGTGGGAGACACTCGTGGCGCACATTGCCTCTACCGAAGGAACTCTGTGCTTGATCTAGAGGGGGGTCAAGGGCATTGCAGGCAGAACATTTCAAGAAGGGATGCACTTCCGCAAAAAATGTTAATTGCTTGCGTTTCTTGCTATCTTGTGCAAATACCCGTCTCTCATCGCGCATCTGGGAAAGCGAGTACGCTTCCGTCATATCGCTACTTTGAGACTTGTCCACCTCCCCCGGGAGGAATTCCCTATCCTCATGCTATGGGAGAACAGCCTCAAGATTCCGCACCTGCCTCAAAGTGCATTCTCCGCCCTCCCAAGACATCTTGCTGGTGGTCGATAATAGTTCACTCTCCGCGGAAGTTGATGAAACTAAGCATCTCGCCAATGGGTTTCTAAACGGCAGCAGTGCGTATGAGGTACTGTCGCATGTCGGAACCTTCAATGGCCCACCACTTGATGACTTGGAGTCCCGCCTCAGTGCACATGTTGTGAACATCCTCCATGTTACGCTTGTGGGCGTCAAACCAGTCGATCTCGAGATCCTGCTTCAGCGTTTTGCCCTCTTTTTCAGCAACGACGTCTCGCTTCGCCTTCAGGAAGAAGCGATGGCGCTTCTCGTCCTTCTCAATGTCACCGCGGATTTCCCAGTCCTCGGGCTTGAAGATGTCCTCCTCTAGGAGGGCGTTGGCGTGTTTGAAACCATTGTGGAAGAATCTCTCAAACAGCTTAGGGTGGGTGTGGTAGGCGTCCCAGACCTTGGTCGAGGTGACGTCGTGGCCGTCCATGCCGGCGAGGATGAGGTCGTCTGGACGCATGAGGGCAGCCCACTCGCGGAGGGAGGCGACAGCCTTCTTCCAGGGGTCGTTGAAGAGGACGGAGCCCAAGGAGAGGAAGACTCGGGGTGAAGGGACATCATCACAGAAGGCGAGGCCGGCCTTGAAGTCGCCCCAGAGGCCTGCCATGTGGACGCTGCCGGCCTCATGCTCAGGAGCTAGAGCCTCGAGGTTGCTAGTAAGCGAGTGGTTTGAGATATCGAGGGCTAGGTATGTGACGTTGCGGCCGTGCTTGGCGAGTTCCTTGAGGAGGAAGTTGACCTTGCGCATGTCACTGTAGATCAAAGGAGCAGTTAGCAATGGCCACGCCAAGTTCCAACATGAAGTGTACATGAAGTGTCAAAGCAAAGATGACGGAAGCGTGAAATTTGGCTTACCCGGCTCCCAAGTCGATCAAGGTGGCATTGTTGGGAATGTAAAAGGTCGCCATCTCCTCGCTATTCTTCTCGAACAAGACCATCTCGTCACGGGTCTGGTAGAATTCGGGAGTGAAGATGACCTCAGCCCAGATGGCCAGCCCTTCGTCGTTGTACAGCAGCTCATCGGGCATGGTCGGGACCTCGTTGCCATCCTTGGCGGCAACGACGAAGACTCGCTTGAGGTCCTCGAGGATAGTGGACGACATGGTGCTGCCGCCGATATCAAGCACGCTGCCGTGCTTGGGCATGTTGGTCATCTTTGACTGGGATTCCATTGTTGTTGCTTTTGAGGCTTCGTGAGGTGTTTTGCTGCAGGTTCCCGTTTTGGTTGATGATGTGTATTTCCGTTTTTGTTGTGTTGAGAAGAAGCTGGTAGGTATGGAGTGTTGGTGAGGAGGAAGCAGCTGCAAAGTTCAATAGACCTTGTAGTACGTAGTATGAAGAGAGTATTGTAGAGTACGATGGGTTCATGACAAGGAAAGAGCTGCTGGACCACGGAGCTTCCGTCGATGCCTTTTATAAATTCCCCTCTCCCTTCGAGCCTGCCTGGAGAACATACCCTTCGCTTCCTGAATCACTTGCTCCTTCCCATCTGTCATCAGAAGGGAAGTTGCTGTTCACTCTTCCTGCGACTTTCCATGCCTACCTACGTACCTGCCCATCCACCTTTCCGTCTCATTCCATCCTTGGAAAGCCTCACCTCTTCACAGGAGAACATCTGCCTCGTTCACAGTCTTTGTCTTTGTTAATTGCTACGGGAAAAAAAACGCTATATCATCATGAGATCTGCGATATTTGGTGCAGAGGGCGGTGGAAAATCTTTCCACACCTCCCTTGGTAAATCTAAGTACGCAGACAGGTGCCTTTCTCCTCTCTGTCCTCCTCTCTGTTCGGATCTCAGCCACGAGGAGGAGACGCATACACGTACCAAAACCACTGACGAACTTGACCAAGAGTCAACATGATGAACCCTTACTTGTGTTACCATCCCACCCTGGACGTTCTTGACTGTTCGGCTGCAGATGGTGGTGGTTTTCAAGCAGCTTGGAGCAGCTGAACAGCCCCCAAAAACAGGGCTGACACACAAACAAGAAATAAACGCAAGAGGTTCCCCTCCTGGTAATCAGTGAAGATGTGGAATCCGCATGTCGTAAAGGGGTTGTATTTTGCAATGAGACGTCTCTGATCACAGCCCTGTCGTCGTTGGTTTACTCTCGACACATTGACATATTTGACGATGACAGGGCCACGCTAAGGCCCGGCTCGATCCTCTTGTCTCATTTCTCTCCATCTACTCTTTTGCGCTTGGGACGTCATCGTCGGACTTTACTTTTGGTCCTTGACCGGTTGGGCGGGATCAAGGAAAGACAAGAAAACGACCGGGGTGGAAACGAGAGGTGACGCGGGGTTGTGATTGACACGGGGGCTCAAGTCAACGCGAATGGGAGCGAGGACCTGGCCGCTCGGGGGGGAGGGAGGGGGGGAACCCGGTCGTCGTAAGGAGTGAAGACTCGGCGTAGATCATATGGAGGCGGGTACTACAACCAACTTTGGCGGTTCCCATTGTTGGGCCCAAAAGCTGGCTATTGTGCGCTGTCCACGCACCCAAACATGTTATGCTGCTGCATGTTGACATTGGGGCGGACGCCGCAGCTACTTTATTGGTCCTGCAGTTTGCTTATGCAGCGGATAAACATGGCGATATTTCCACTTTGCAAGAGGTCATGAAGTGACGAGCTTTGAATCGCAGCCGCAACGACTCTCGCAACGACTCTCGCATGTGCGCTGTTTAAGGGGGGGGGGAGGTGAATGAACGCTGGTATTCCTCTTCGATCAAGACGAAAGGGCAAATCTGATACGCAATCCCGCGACTGATTGTTCGAGACGCCATCACCGCATAAGTTTGGTCAAAACAACCTCCCGTCCTTCCATAGGGCGAGTGGTGCACCTCGCTCCGGATTCAACGAGTAAGACTCATCTCGACATGTTCGAAGCCGGGGAGGTGGGTATATTGGGTATGGATGTCGCAGATACGAACTGGCTATCTTGCGTGATTTGCCTGTTCCGAAGGCGGGATGGATTGTTTGTCGTCTTTAATTATAAAGCGCATCTTTACCGCACTTCGAACTGTCTCAACGCCTCATTTCCCGATCCATATACACCGCGGATCTATCATTGGGATGTCACACGTGATTCGATGCAACGTATGAGCCTCCATTCTGAAGGACGACAGGCCAAGGCAAACGAGACGACAGGCATAGTGGTGTCCATTGTAGTCTTCGCAAGCACAAGTTGACATACGAATGTGGTCGGTCCTGTCCGGCCGCATTATGTTCACTCGGCACGCTTGGTCTGTGTGTCCTGGGCCGTCTTTGGGGACCGCGCACCGGCTCCGGGTTGGCTTTACGGAGCGGTCCGCCTAAGGTACTAAGGAGATGACGAACAACGCAAGGCCTCTTGATGGCCTTTGCGGTCGTGGAGATCAAACCGCCTCCAGTACGGATACGGAATGTAACCCTGGGTTATTGCAAATCACTAAGCTTATCGTCATCTTGTCCTGTTGAGACCGGTCTGGAGAACGCGACTCAACGACGAGAATGCTCCTCTCACGGCCAAGAGCTGAAGATGCACTTGAACTCGCCTGCGCCAGCTCGCGCGTTATCCCGCCAAGGGGGTTATGTTACGTGTCACGACGTCGTGCCTATTGGCGGAGATGCGCTTAACCCCCCCCAGTGCAGATGTCTCGCCTGTTTCTAGCCGCATCGGGGGGCCGTGTCTGGCGGGTGACTCGCAACGCCTGCTGGTCCGTCTGGGAAACTGCACCACGGGAAGCTGATTCGCTGTCAAACGATTGCTTGATCAATGAGGAGACCGGGCAAGAACAAACGAGATGCGCAGCCCTGGCTAAGCTCGGTGCTCTCTGGTAAGGATGTGCCCGGAACCTCGTTGGACCGTCACAGCGGGCCTCGGAGAATTGGCAAGATGCCCACGGCCGCTCGGCAACGTCAAGCCAAGCCCTGGAACGGAACCAGATTTCAAGCATGAAGGCGGCACAGCCTGGAGCTGATGTGCTGTCGTTTCCACCGCACGCGCCTCGGAACACGAGTCCTGTGGCCGGGACCTCATTCTCGCATGCCAACATAGCTTCCTTCTGGCGATGTTCCAAGGCTGTAAAGCCCATAGCGCTTCGGGTCCGTATTTCTGTAGGTTTCGGGTGGTTTGAGCGCCACCAGATTCGCTCATCCGACCGACCAAATTGCTCGGTGATTACGGTTGAACCGTCTTGTCGGATGTCGATGATTCCAGTCAGACGGACACGACCCAGGCTTCCCGGGGTCGGCATTGCTCCCGCAACATCGAGGTTCCCTGTTGAGCAGCCAAACCGCGCGGAGTCAGGCGTCATGGATTTCCCCGCTAGAGCCCTTATGCAAGGCCCATGAGAGACGCTACGACGCTCACGAGTCACAGGCGTGGTTGGTTGATGGGGCCGGGTAAAGCTTGATATTCGATCTATGAGGCTTTAAACACCCAAGGAACATAGATGGCATGCTTTTGAGAATGCCTGTGTAGATAAGAAAGCCTCCTAATTGGGAATCAGAGGAATTTGGCAGATCAATCCTGGCGTGGAATTCGGTCGGAGCAAGAACCTGTCGCTGGCCTATTTCATGAAAAACTGGCATTTATGATAACGGCCATGCACACTAACACAATAGAGAGAGCGAACTATCCGTATACGATGGGCTGGAACGGTGAGGTGGTTGGGTGGCTATCACCCAGCGGCCGTCGGCCCCGATGAGGGTGTGGAGCAAGCCGCTCAACCTGTGAAGTTTGAGGATTCTTGACTCAGTCCTCGCCATTCGGCCGGAATGAACCTTTGATGGTGGTTTCAGGATTTGAGGATGCTTGAGCGATCAATTCGCCTCTCTGCGCACCTGTGCAGGAGTCAGGACGAAGCGACAAAGGTTGAGATGACCGTTGGGAAAAGCCCAATGCTGCCCGAGGTGGAGGTCAACAGCCTCCAGTTCGGCCGGGACTCGTCAACTGGGTGGCTATGGATAGTGGCGGCGGCGTTGGTGGCGGCGGCGGCGTTGATGCCTTCCAGAAGCCGACTAGAAAAAATCACTCAATCAGATGCATTGGTGCGAGTGTATGTAGACAGTGTGAGCCAAAGTTGGACGCGTCGCCTGCCGATCTCTGCCTTGTAATTCTTTTACCTTTTTTTCCGCGACGCGTTGTTGTCCCGCCCACAAGATAGCCTCGTGCCGAGCGATCGTTGTTGAATTGCCAGGCCATTGCCACGGGCTCATGAAAATACTGTGTTTAGTTTGATGAATGCCAGTGGATTTGGACAACTGCTTTGTGTCAACCTTTTGCCTTGCTGCCAGGATGACAGTGGAACAGCGGAAATGCCGGTACCGCCGCAGAGTGGTCCAGCAGGAAAGCATGTCAAGGGTTGCCCATTCAAGGTTGAAGAATCCTAGACATCGAGAATCAATCAGACATGGTCTACCCAGGGGCAGAAGCGTCCATGCATCACCCTCTTCCCAGTGAGAGAGGAGTGTGCGCTCCTGGATGGAGATCTGGATGTCTGGTGGCAGAGAGGGACCTCAACAGCCATCAGGCCAGGGCGTTGAACTCTGCGGTCCTACAACGTGATGATGGCCATCAAGAGCTCGTCGAGCAAGCATTTTCGCAGGCTTGGCCATGAGCGGTTGACGGCCCTCGAGTGCAACTGTGCCATCCAAGGACTGCAAAAAGACAGCGTAGCAAGGCCGGCCGGCGGTCATCTCGGATTCAGTTCATCCCACTCAGCTAAGTTTAGCTAGCAGACGTAGTCCCCTCGTGTGAGTGGGTCTAACGAGATTTAACATGCACATCCCTTCAACTGCCGGTGCCTTGTCCAGTAGTCTCTGACTCCTGAGCCTTAGCCTTGACCTGACGTTTTGTAACTGGTTGCCCTCGCCTGCTCGACGCCAGCTAAGGCAGTGGCAGGCAAGGCAAGGCGAAGCTAGCGCCCCCTGTGTCGTGCGGCGTGCCAGTGAAGCTAGGCAGGCTGGGATTGGGATGTGGTGGTGCAACTTACAGAGGTCGAGGTCCCCAAAGGCCACGAATCGGCACGGGCGTTTCATGTCTAGATCGAGAAAGGATGGCTGTATACGGATTTGGACGAAAGTATGCGGTGCTAGACGGCTGGACGGCCAACGGAGCGGCCGTCGTTGGAGAGAGATTAGATACTCAACCTGCTGCCAGCAGTGGCTGCGATTGAGAGCCTGGGGCGCAATTATTAGCAACTTCTTTGCAGTGAATTTCTGGGTTTCCTCTGGTGTCTCTTTTCGCCCTTGATCCTGACTAGCTCGCTGGCGGGAAGCATCCAGTTGGCCAACATGTGCATCACTCACAATATGTGCGCCTGAGAGGAAGTAACTTTGGCAGAGGCTTGGTTGGCCTTGAAGTCTCTGCCGCATCCAATCCCCAGTATGCCGCTCTATACCTTGGTGATTGGGGGCGGTTCTGGACAAGAGCATTGACTCGGGTATCCGTACGGTATTCGTAGATGTGTGATGGGTCATCCGCTGGTCGAGGTTGTGATCAGGCCTGGTGTTCGTCTGCTATGTGCATGTCTGGTCAAGCTGTTCCCCAGTGCGGCGGGGGAGAAATCTGGCCAGGAGACGGATGTTTTTTTCGCATGGAATGGAGGTGACGGACGTTAGGCTGTACCGTGTTACGCGTGTAAGTGAGGGAGGCCCGAATGCAGGGCGTGCACGCGCATCGCGCATCGCCGGCTTCGAATCGTCAAGAGCCAGTCTTCAGAGTCCGAGAACCATCTTCCCGCGTGGAGCGAACTTATGCATCGTGGTGTCGACAACAACGGCGGCGGCGACGGCGGCGGCGGCGATACCTCTTGCTTCTTGGCGCGTGAGAAAATAGAGGTAGAAGAAAGGACGAAAATAGACGTGATCTTCGGTTGCGCGGCCCTCACCGAAGTCGCTAGCATGGCCAAGCCTGTCAAGGCTAAAAAGACTCTTGAGTAACGGGCAAGGATGCCATGGGGCATGGGGACGGGAAGGTGTTTGGGCTTGGTCAATGGGGTAAGGTGAGCCTTGAGGCCGTGAGAGGACAATGGAGGGAAAGGGGAGTGAGTCGAGGCCACATGCACTTGACCTGCCCGTGCCTCCGTCCGCTCGCATCACGGGGTACATAGTAGACCGTAAGACATATGACGCACCAGCCAGAGCTGACGGTAGGAAGGAACCAAAACTTGTCAGGCCAGGAAGGAGCAGGCACTGGCCATGGCATGACGCTGGATCCCGCTGGATGGAAGGAGGAGTGCGGCAGCAGCAGAACACGGTCAAGCCACCGCGGGATGCTTCCTCCCGCACCTGTCCACGGTACATTAGGTAAGGTACTCCACGGTCCAGTCAGTCATGTTTGCACAACCTAGTCTCTATCTGTGCCGTCAGACGCACTGTCCGGCCGTGGTGTTACAGTGCGCGGAGTGTATCCGTAGGCCATCGAGGATCCCCCATTATACGGATACAAAGGAAACATACCCGTATATACCTCACAATGCACATCTCTCCCACTGATGGCTAACTGCCAAGAAACATGGAACACCAACAAAGAAAGGCAAAGACAACTTGGCCGCAGTACCGCACTAGGTCCAGGGGTCGCGCTGCTCAATTAATCGTAAGCGACCCTCATGGAAGGATGAATAGAAGTGTGCATGGAACAATCATGGAAGCTGTCCAAGCCTCCAAGCTCAAGCGTTGGCGTTCGCCAATCATCCTTCTCTTGCCAGCCGCGGCCGACCTGTCTAAGAACGGCTATTTGCGCTAGAAGCAGGGCATCTCACCTTAGCGCCGGTCCTAGAGTGTCCCGAGTTGAACCTGGTCGAGGGCTAAGATGGTAAGATGCTCAGGGGTTGCGTTGATGCCCACGTTGTTGGTGATAATGATGATGATGACGATAATTCAACCTGCATGCCGACGGGCAATCACAGAAAGTAGATATGTAGTCGGATCCAACTCGTTCCCTTACTTTAGTATGCCACCCACCCAAGATTCGACCTAGCTCCAGCTCGGCTAGCTGGCAAACATATGAGATACACTCAGCCTGTACTCGTCGCCACTAGTGCTTGGTGACCAATCTAGGCATATCTGTTGAGACAGATTGTGCCGACACGCCTCGCTCACTGAGTCGTACACACATGATTTAGCTCACGTTTGCCGTTTGGGACGATGCGCGATGCACCAATTTGGTTGCAGGTCTCCTGCAACCCATGGAACCAACATACCTCGCCCAACCTGACAAACTACAAAGGCCAGGTACTCTCTGTGTACATTTCGTCGTCTACCTACAATGTTAGGTATTCGCCTAACATCAAATCTCAGCAGAGCCCCCTGCCAGCGACTGACCGCTTCGCTCATCTGCCTCTGCGCCTGTTCTTAATCTCGAATCGTCCGTGCCACGTCGATTGATCTGCTCTCAGTCGTACGCTGCCCCTTCACCCTCTTCGCGGTCAAGAGGATGGGGGGTCCGGGGGTCAATGCCACCAAAAGCTCGTGAGCTTCGACGTATTGGGCTCTCTGTAACCAGAGTTGGACGGCTCGCACAGACAATCGTTGTTCAAAGTCGCCTGCGGCAATCTCCGTTGTTGAGGCTCGCTAGTTCAATGACCTTGTCACCTGGACCACCCCATGGAACATGCATGACGGTTGTAATAAGCCGTGGCTGCTCAGCCGTGGGACATGCCGTGATGCGCCCGTGCCTGAGCTGAGCCCTGGCGAGGCGGGTACAATTCGCAGAGGGCCGCCCGTCAATGGGCCTTTGGACCAGTCTGAGCTTTCGGGAACAGAGCCGCGGGACATTACCTTGACCGTGGTCGACGAGGCCTTGTCTGGTCTCTTGTCATTGAGTGCCCTGACGTGACGCCTGACGCTGGTCATGCTGCGAGCCTCACTGCCTCCCAAATCGTCCAGTCCTTCAGCATCCGACCCTTCTCTGCAACCGGCCGTCCCGTTCGCAAGTCAAGGCAGCCATGCGAGCATTCGAACGGGCGGCCTGGGCGATAAACATACGTCCAAAACCCTCGGCGCGCTGTCAACGGCGTGTTTGAGGCCCAAAGGCCCGTTCTTGACACACGCCCCTTTGCCATGGGTCCCATACCGGTACCACACGAATGGTCCATGGAGCAGAGGGAGACGGACCCCCAGTCTGCGCGCGCGAGCCCCCCCCCTCCCCGGTTCAAGGCTGATACGACACAAGGTGCCTGGCTCTGGGGCCTTGCCGTGTGCAGCAGAAAGTCCGTGTAATCTTGTGCTCGTCGGCCAATTACCTGGGGACCCCTGTCACTGTCCAACCTTCTCGAAGCATTCGAGAAGGAGTGGGGAGGAGAAAGAGGCCTTCCAGGGATAGATTGACAACGGGCACCCCACCCTCGTCGCAGATGAAGCTGCGAGACGGCGGCGCAGCCCATCCCTTTGACGCAGCTGTAATTCCACGGCGGCTCACACGCCGTCGATGCCTTCTAGAAGACTTCTGGAAACCCTCCCCGCTAGGCCTAGCATCAATCTTAGGCTGCATGCGAGGGCCACCAAGCCTCCTCGCGCACTCGAGATTTCGCTAGGTTTGTGCTCCCATCCCTGGGGGTTTCTTGTCCGAATGTTGGCGAAACCCCTTTTTGGCCGCTGCTCCCTAGCTGTGATGTTCAGTTGGCCTGCGCGCAAAGGGCGGCACCAGAAGTGGCAGAACCCGCCATATTGATCATGAAGATCCTCGCCAAACGGTCGGCATCTGCGTCTGGATGCCATCGCCGCACATTTACGCGTGATGACAATATGGCAAGCCATATATGTGTGCTACGAGGTTGCCCAGGTTATGTGAGACAGATGCAGGGCTTTGTTCGAGAGAACCCAAGCCATGAAGAAATTCGACGTAGACCCGGCGCATCAATCGACAATTTTTTCTGAATTGACACATACACCTCGTAGGGAGCGGGCAGAAAGATGCATGCCCTCGAAGCTTGATAGAGCGCGCAAGGTATAGACAGCTTCGCACTCTAAAGGAGGCACTACCTTAGGCCACGACTGTACAGTGTTGCCGTCACTGTCCAAGGCGTCCAACCGAACCAAAAAACAAAAAAGGCAGCAAGCTGTACGGGTATTACTATGTAAAACACTAGTTGAAAAAGAACCCAGTTCAATTTGTTCAGCTATTGTCTTCGTGCCTCTTGTATCTGTACGGTCTGTTTGTCGTCCCAAGAGCTGTGGGCAGACCCCTGTTCCGATAGATGGGCACATGACAACAACGGTGACGGCATTCAGCCATCCATCTTGTTAATCTCGAGCCGCTCGTGCCTGATTGCCGGGCCTCTGCATCTACACGCTCTCCAGAGGATTTTCGGCAAGCAGCCAATCTTTTCCAGAAGGAATTGGGCTTCCACGACCATGCCCCTTTCATATGGCGGAGCAGCAGGGAGCCCCTGCACCTTGTACCGTCGCACCTTTCGCAGGGCCCTTGGATCGAGATTGGCCATGCTAAGGCATCCATACGTCGTAAGGCCTGGCTTTGCACTAAACGTCACTGACAAGAGCCGAATAGGAATGGACAAGCAATGAAAAGCAGGGGGTCGTTCAAACAGCTCCAGCGTAACTTTGTTTCGCGACTTTGATACGTGCTTTGAGGGCGATATCAAATTTGGAGGCGTCCGAGCGTTCATTAGATGGCACTCTGCACTTGGTTGCCGTAACATTGCAGCCCATGGTATAATCAATGGGACTTGTAGAAGCGGCCGCCAAGAGGAAGCCGGCGCAAACAGTAGGGAAGCGACAGCATAAGCGGCGGCTGGGTCTCGGATTGTCTTGATGCGGATGGTGCGTGGGAGATGAGCGGGTAATGAGACGTGCGGTCAACCATCAATGTACGGATATACATCTGCAATCCGTATCGGCCGAAGGGCAGCGGGGGACGTTCGGACTCGCGATGTACTCTGCAGTGGATGGGTGGCAGCATCGCCAGTGTTGGAATGGGGTACTGCGGCGCAATGGCGTTGCGAAATGGAGTGGCTCTGACCACACTCTGTCTGTCTTCCTTGACAGCGCACGCTCGAGGGGTGCTCGGCCAGCGCTAACGGTGGTTGCCCAATCGAGAAGGGGAGTGACCACATGGAAGCTTTGGAACATTCGTCCGGCGCAGGGTCATAGCACCGCCAAGTCTAGCTTATCTGATGCGCTTTGAGTGCAGCTGGGTGCCCACGAGATGCTTGCTCGCTGGCGGATACAGTTGTCGATATCCGTATGCGGGTAGCATATCCATCCGTGTGCAGTGGCCGATGAATGAAGATTGAGCGGTTTGTCCGCCGAGCTGCAAACATGTGGCTGTCGAGGAGGAAGGAGACGTTCATCGTCCAGTCATACATCCAGCGTCGTTTGGTACCGACAGAGCGCAGTGGAAGAAAGACTGCGTTGCTGCGCTGCTGGGCCAGATGCTGGGCCCGGGTAAGAAGAGAATCGAAAGAAGCGAGCCCTGACTCTCAAGACATAGGAAACAGATGCGAGCACCCATCCCCCCGGTCCGCCCTATCGTAGGTTTTGTCTGTGGGGTTGCGAAAGGTAAACTGGATGTGCCATTCTCGCTCCTGAGTGGGAGGCGAGAGACCCACTACCAGGGTGGAGATGATGGCAGAAATAACCCGATTGTTTGATGATGACAAGGCAAAACGAGAGAAAAGCCAAATGGGATTGCCGGGGGTCCTGTCAGGCGAGCCAGCTGTCCGCCAGCCGGAGACAAGAACGGCTTGGCGATTTGGCGAGGTACCCCTGAATGGAAGAATGGAAGGAAAGAAGGGGGAGGGGAGAAGTTTGAGAGTTCCAGGTGACGAGGGGTATTCGTACTTTGCCTCTGCATTGCGGCGGGCTGAAGCCTGAAGGTGATGAGGAGGATGATGATGATGATGATGATGAGCAGCGGAGGTGACACCGGTAGCGGGTTCTAATGATGAAAAATGGTCCCATAGTCTCCCCTTTCCATCCATTAATGATGCACTGCTTGCAGATGGGCCTGGCAACGGGGTGTTTGTCTGCTTTCTGGACGGCTCATTTGTCGACTGCATTGATGGTGTTGAGGGCAGTGGCCTGGTCGTAGTGCTCCGTCGGCGCTGGCAAGCCGCAAGCCACAAACCGTCCACGGCATGAAACCAGTACGAGAGTCAGCTGCAGGGCTTTGGTATAACACAAATTAAGAATCACAGAACAGGGGACGTGGCAGACGGGAAAAAGCATAGCAGGAAGTTGAGTGAAGTTGCTGCTATTCATACATGGCCGTACCTCATATTGACCAAGGTGCCGTAAGATACCTAAGTAGGTGCCTCGCGTCCTGATGTTACATGATGTACTTAAGGTACTGTACACCTGGACATGAGGAGGCAAGGGGCGGCTTCAATCAATGTTCCGTGTCTCCCTCTGGCTACTTACTGTACTGGCACCTGTGGATCAGATCAACCAAGGTGCCTCAGTCAAGCTGCTGCTGTTCTTGCTGGATTCGTCCATGGACGAACGACATCGTCAATTTTAATTTTAATTTTTTTGAGATGGGGAAGGCACGAAAGACCGTTGATACACGCAAAGGCCGAGCTCGTAAGATGGTCCCAACCCCTGGATGTCGGCGGTGGCCCAACCGGCAGCACAGAGACGATCGTCGCCGACTCCAGGTTGAGCAGGCCCAGCAGGGTGGAGCAGAGGCAGAGGCAGGGACGCTGGATACCTTATTGGAGCCCCCATTCCACTTGCCGAAGAGACAAGTAGGGCCTCGAACTATCGGTACTGTGTGCACTGTGCAGCTGCAAGGTACGGCAAGACCAACTTTTGGCAGGCACTCGGAGGTATCTCACAGCAGGTGCCAGGAGAGGGATGGGAAAGAGAGGGAGCACTGAGCAGGGCACGGGCGCACAGCGCAGCAGACGAAGAGAAAAGGGCGAGGAAGGTACCGATGGGATACAACAGCAGGGGCGAGTGGGGAGGTGGAAGACAACAAGGGAGGGATCCTGGAAGGGGGCACGTACCCTCGTGCCCATACCGGAATCGGTTCATGTGTCGTTGCTCTTTCCATGCGGCAACGGCAGCCCGCCCTGGAGAGTATCCGTACCGTAAAGGTAAGGTATGGAAGGTAGATAGATACCTTACCTTACCTATGTAGGTAGCATGATGGCTGTCTCCACGTACTAAGTCTCCAAGTATCCAAGTGCCTCACAAAAGTGCTGGACGTTGGGTGCCTCGAGGCTTGAGATGTTCCTTTGTACCCTCGTATCCATGTATCTCCATACCTAGGTACCTTGCACCCCCGTTCGTTCCTGCTTCAGCGTCCATGGGCCCCAGTTGTCCCAGCTAACCCGTTCGTTTCAATTCCCCAAGCTTCCGCACTCGGGATCTCACTTGACCTGACTTGGGGGGAGGGTGCGCTCTCTGGTTCTCGACATGTCATGTACTCTCTCTTCTTGTTCCAAGACCGACAATACGTGCGCGCGTGCGCAAGTCCATGTGTGATGTGTGAGTGTTGAGTGAGTGCAGAGAGAAGAGACGGAAGGTATGTGAGTGAGGTATGTGAGTGAGGTGTGTGTGTGTGTGGGTGGTATGTGGGTGGTATGTGTGGTGTGTGCAATGGGCCAAGGAGGTACCTCGTCTCTGACATGCAAGGTATTCATATCTCAGGCTGTCTGTCCTCTTTCCTCTTTTTCCAATCTCTTGCAGTCTGGTCTGTCTACCTCTATTCGTGCCTGCGCATCTGGACGAGCTCGTTCGATTCATAAGGATAACCCATTTCTTTCCGACCCCATCCATCCCTCCATCCCTCCAACCATCCAACAAGTTACATCCCAAAGCCAAGCCAACCAGCTTGCCAGCTAACCAGTCTTACTTTGTACCAACTCGACTCGACTCGACAAATCGACCCCCGGTTTTCTCACCAATCTATTTTCCTACGCAAACCACACCAGTCCCTCAGGTGCAGGAGCAGCAGCAGGCCTAGCAACGACAAGCTGTATATGCGTGCCCTGCGCGTACATTGCACACCCCTCCCCCCCTCCTTCCATTATTCCTTCCTTTCTTCCATCTTCCCCCCGGTCTCACTAAAAGGATCTTCTCCGTGGTTGACATTTTTATAACACCTGCCGAACCCCGTCCGCCCGTCCCTGCGCTCCGCTTGCTGCGTAACAGCTTCTTTCTCTTCCCCTTGTTCTTTCCTACACGACCCTCGACCCTCAGTCGACCCTTTCTTGACACACCAACGCCAACAAGCCAAGGGCCGACCTTCCACCACCTTGCCTGGACTTCCTTCTCCATACATATTCATACGCTTCCTCTGCAGCACCGGCAAAACCCAGGCCAGCCTTGCTTTCTTCTTCTTCTTCTTCTTTTTGGTCCCCATTCCACCATTTCCTTGCGACTGGCAACGTTCCTGTCTCCAACTCCTGAAAAGCAACCCCCCCTCCTCCCCCTTACGGATACCCATCCTTGAGATACCTATTGCTCGCTCTGTCCAGTAAGTCGAACCTTCATTTGTACTGTCCCAGTCCTCCTTAGCCTTGTGCACGCCATCCCTTGCCGCCTACTCTTCGTCATCGCCCTTCGAAGC